GGGCTAAAATATGGTGATCTATGAGTGGGTGCAGTAGTGCAGCAGTGAGAACCAGTCTAGTATCTGATAGCCAGATTACGGGCAAGGTACAGTGGCTTGTAAAAGTATTCACCACCCTTGCAAATTTTCCACATTTTGTTGCCACCAGAGCTTGCAATCAGGAAACTTTGAAATGGGACTTTATATTTGAAATCTACACAATCTACTCTAAACTAAGAAAGCTAAAAAACCTTGATATTATGTATAAGTTAGATTTTGAAAGAAAATTAGAATATTCTAAATTGCATAAGTATTCAACCCCTCTACTATGGCAACCCTAAATCAGTTCAGGTGCAAACGATTAGTCTGAAAGGTCACAAAATTAATGTAATGGTCTCTGTCAGTATGTAATCAACGTGGTGTAACTTGACTTCAGAGTAAATGCCACTTCAGGCCACAACTCACATAGTGATACGACAAGCAAACCATGAAGACCAAGGAGCTTTCCAAACAAGTCAGGAATAAAGTGGTAGAGAAGCACAGGTCAGGAGAAGGTTACAAGAAAATTTCAAAGTCGCTGATTATCCTTTTGAATACAGTGAAGTCCATCATTAAGAAGTGGAATGTGCTTCATACCACCCATTCACTACCCAGATCAGGCCATCCTTCCGAACTGAGCAGCTGGGCAAGCAGGAAACTGGTTAAGAATGCCACTGTGAAGCCAACAGTGACTTTGAAAGATCTGCAAATTTCCATGTCTAAGATGGGAGTCAATGTTCATACATTGACAATATCCTGGTCCCAATACTATATGGAGGAATGGCAAGAAAGAAGTCGTTACTGAAAAGTAATCATCTTAAATCTCGTATGGAATTTAGAATTTGCAACAAAGAATGTAAGTGATACTGCAGACATGTGGCAGGAGGTTTTGTGGTCGGACGAGACAAAAATTGAGTTTTTTGGTCTAAAGTCAAAGTGTTACATCTAGTGCAAGCCCATCATAACACATTACCCACTCAACACCATCCCAACTGTTAAGCATGGTAGTGACAGCATCGTATTATGGGGATGCTTCTCATCAGTAGAGACTGGAAAACTTGTCAGGATTGAGGGGAAGATGGATAGTGCAAAGTACATTTCAGCAGGACAATGACCCGAAGTATAAAATTAAAGTCACACTGAAGTGGTTTCAAAAGAAGAAAGTGAATGTCCTGGAGTGGTCCAGTCAAAGTCCTGACTTGAATTCAATGGAAAATTTATGGCGAGACTTGATGATTACAGTCCATCAACGATCCCTTATGAACTTGTCAGAACTGGAGCAATTTCACCAGGAAGAATAGGCAAAAATTGCACCATCCTTCACACATAACAGTGTTGAGTTTGATAATTAGAGTTCTGAATAAAAACAAATTATTAAAAAAAATTACATTACTTGTATTTCATCAAAATGTGACATTATTGGAAGGGGTGAATACTTTTTCAAGGCACTGTACATGAAACTGGAACGTGTTTCTGTACTCGATATTTGCTCGAAAGTCTTGAATTTTTTTATTCTATGTTATAGGATGGCTTAGTTTATGATATCCACATATATTACTCCAGTATCAGGAGTAACATGTTAATTAACGTATTGTTACGACAGCGGAGGTCACGTGACGCTAGTAGCACGTCATGCGCTTCTAGAACATTCATGAAACCTCGAGAGGATACTAGATATGCGGTAGTCTTGTATATAAGCCACCAAGAACTGACGGACACAATGGGTAATTGAACTGCGGACAGAGAGAGATGTATTGTTGAGTCGAGCACGTGTGACGTTCGTTGTGAATTATAGCGTTTGTTATAGCGTGTCTGTGGAAATTAAGTGTATTACAAAGTTGTATTTAGAAAGAATAAACCAGCTTTATTTAAGAAAGGACTTGTATCGCTAAAGTTTCTTCTGAAAGAAATTATACGGAAAATTAACTAACGAATGGAGGCGTAACAAATTGGTGTCAGAGAGTGGGACAAAAAAAATGGAAACGAGAAGTGGCAAATCAAACTACAGCTTAACAGATTTGATGGCAGCAATACAAGAACAGCAAAAGAAACAAGAAGAACGAGAAGAGAAATTACAGCAGTGGTTGGAGGAAAAAAAACAAGCAGAGAGACAACAGCAGTTGCAAGAAAACCTGCAACAGTGGCAGCTGGAACAGCAAAATAAACAAGATAAATTACAGCAGTTGTTGGAGGAAAAAGAAAAGAAACAAGAAGAACGAGAAAAGAAACAAGAAGAGAGATTACAGCAGTGGCAACTAGAACAAGAAAGTAAGCAGGAAGAAAGTCTCCTACAGTTGCAGGAAAGTCAGCAGCAACTGCAGGAAAGTCAACAACAGTGGCAAGAAGTACAAATGGAAAACATTAGTAAATTTAAAAGCGAATTAGATACATTAAATGATGATTTATTGTCTTTTACACAAGGAGAATACATTAATCATCGACTTAATCAGCCCCAGACAATGGCAAGCCCCTTCCAGATCCCACATGAAGCAGAAGCCAACGAGACGGAGACCAGTACGGAAGAACATACGTCCCGTAAAATTAAGAGACTTTGTTGGATTATAATTTTGTGTTTGTAATTCTGTACATTTTAATTAAGTTAGTGTTATTGGTTTATTGTATGCGGTTATTGTTCGGGACGAACAATACTAAGGAGGGGCAGTGTTGCGTCAGCGAGGTCACGTGACTCGTTCTCTCGAACCTTCGGGAATAGTCGGGAGATTACTAAATATAGGGTAGTCTGGTATATATAAGAGGGTGACGGCGTGACGGGACAATAATGTGTAGATAGTGAGTAATT